CTACCAAGTGAGTTCCAGGAAAGGCGCAAAGCTACACAGAGAAACCCTGTCTCGAAAAACCACGAAAAAAAAAAATTTTTGAATGAATAAACTATAAATGCAACATACTTATCAGAGCTGTTTCTGTGTATGTGTGGACATCACTAAGGTGACTGAAGAAAAACCACTCACAAATGTGCTCCAAACCCCCCTCTCTCAGCAAAGGTGCAACTTCCACACTCACACTCGCCCTCCTGTACTTTTCCCTTGGAGTTCCCAGCAGCCTACGGATTGGCACACAGATTCAGGAGGGTAGTTTCCCCTGACCGGAAAGGCATGAAACTGGCCATCATCCAAGGACATTTCTTTTGCCTGTGGAAGCCCAGCCCAGGAGGACGATAATTGGATTTTGATTTTTAACTAAGTAAAAATAGCCTTTAAAAATTAACAATATGTCTTGTTAATCTCAGGGTCTGTCTGGGCCTTCTGCACTAGGACTCCTGCTTGCGTACTTGTGTCCTGACCCACTAGGGACCTGCCTATTTTGGGAGCCTGGCTCTGAAGCCTAAGTCTTTTCTGGGCATGTTTTCTTTTAGCAGCACAGCCAAGCTGCTGGAGAGGGAGGCGGAGCCCAGACATGGGGCTGAAGATCTCCGCAGTGAAGACATCTAAAGCCCTCCACAGACCCATTCCTCCAGGAGCGCTGAGGCCGTCGGCGGCAGCACACGTGGAGACTTGCTCACATCCCACGCAGCCACTGACGGGCATAACCGACTCCGGTAACTGAGCCCCTGATGCTAATATATGGCACCACCCACAAGACGGGGACAAATTTACCTTCTTTGTCCTCGTGTTTTCTGGATCAGAGGACTCTGTCCCTTCCTGCTGTCCGCCCGCTGATGGGGGGCTTTCTTCCATGCCTTCCTGTTCCTCAATTCCAGCCTGGCAAGGGAAAAACAGAGCAAACACGACCACGAGTGAGCAGAGAGGCCGGAGAAAGAGGGAATACAGAAGGAGAGGCAGATCTACATGCTTCTCCCCTGATCCCTCACAGTGCTAGGGGAACTGAGGCTCAAATAGGAGCTGCTCACTCACACAGATAGACAGACAGAAAAACATTTTGAAGCTGGCCCGTTGGCTTTTGGGGGACAGAAATCCCTGGCGACCTGAGTGTTTGCAGTGAGAGTGACTATAAGGCCGGGCGGTGGTGGCGCACGCCTTTAATCCCAGCACTCGGGAGGCAGAGGCAGGCGGATCTCTGTGAGTTCGAGGCCAGCCTGGGCTACCAAGTGA